CCTGTAGGAACACGCATCACCAGAGTGTTTTCACGTGGTGTAGCTGGTCAGGGAGCAGATCACAACAGAGAGTGGTGAACTGAGGAAGCAGCAGGAAATGCTCTTTGTAGGCTAAGGAGTCAGTTGAGAGAGTGACCAAAAGTAAAAGAAAACTAAAGATCAGTTGCTGTCTAGTCAGCTCTAACTAGACAGCACCCCCAGGTGTCAGAGTAGAACTGTGCTCCCCAGGATTTTCAGTGTTTTCAGAATCACCAGGCCTTTCTTCTGAAGCACCTCTGGGTGGATGAAAACCTTTAACCTTTAGTTAGTAGTTGAGTACATTAGCCACTTGTACTACCCAGGGATTCTGCAGTAGACCAAGGAAAAGGCCAGAGGTAGGAATTCTCTTTGAACTAGCTCCTCTTCCTCAGTAACAGGTCTGTGCACACAGGCGCAGCGTCCAGTGGGCAGCCAGGCCACCAGCATAGAGCCGTGGCAAGAGTAGACAAGGCGAGAGAACGTTTTCTAGGAAAAGGCTACTTCTGCCTAGAACGCGTTTCTCCATCTCTCTGCACAGCCTTTAGGCTAGCTTCCAATTCCACCTGGAACTTGGGTCCCACCTTTGCTGAGCTCCCAAGCCCCTCTCTCCACTGAGGTGGGATGGCACCCTTGCTGGCTGTGATGCTGGTCCCTCCTCAGCGCCCTCTCCTGGACAGAAGCTCCTCCTGGTCTCCCCTGGTTTCTACAGGCTGTGCTGAACACCAGGTGGCTTAGAGCACTCGGAGACATGTATTACATGTCTTACATTTTTTTACATGTATTACATTTTTTCATGAGTTTTCAAAGTACCAAGGTATAACATGGGAAATTCAGATCTCTCTTAGACTTCTTTCAGTTTTTAGTATTTTTTTTTTTTTTTTTTTAACATTTGCCTTTCACTGAGAGCAAAAACGATCCTACCCTGTCTGAAGTCCTTCCTGGTGTGGTGCCCTGGGTTAATGAGCTGGACTACAGAGTCGGTTTGAACTGAAAGTTCGGCAGTTCAAGCTCACCAGTCGCTCCTTGGAAACCCTATACAGGGGTTGCTATGACTTGGAACCAACTTGGCAGTACTTAACTGTCCTGATGGGTCATTCTGAAACAGATTAAGGTGACTTCCCCGTCTGAAATTCAAAATAAAATCAATACTAAACACCACACTATATACAAAACAAATTCCAAGTGGGTGAATGAGCTAACTGTAAAAAAGCAAAACTTGAACATGTGTATATATGTTATTTGTATGAATTATGTGATAGTTTACCTGGCATACATATATTTTTAAGAGTATTTTATGCCTACTAAGTGTTGTTGTATACAGTATTGTTGTTGCTCAGTGCCATAGAGTTGGTTCCGACCCACAGCGACCCTGTATAGGGTTTCAAGGAGCGGCTGGTGGGTTTGAACTGCCAACCTTTCGTTTAGCAGTCCACAAAGGCTGTAATTTTAACAGAAGCAGACTATCACATCTGTCTCCTATGGGACAGCTGATGGGTTCAAACCTGGCCTCCAAAAGCTGACTCCAGTTCTGGCAGAGACCCAGGCCCCTCACTCCTCTGCCCCTGGACTTCTTGGAGCCCAGAGGATGCGGTGACTTAAGATGAAGAGGGCAGCGTTATTCAAAAGGAGCAGCAAATCACAAGGGTGTGTGTGCCTGCCTGAGCGTGTTATGTGCTGTTTCAAAGTTCAAAACACACTGAGGCACGGAAAGGAAGGTATTCGCCCAAGTGACTCAGACATGTTCCAGCATTTCCCCACAGGCTCTTGCACATCCCAAAATAACTGCAACCCTGGATCCTGTCTGCTGGCATTCGATTACATTCGTATAATGTTACAGGCAGCGGACACACCGTGCACACTCACATGGGAGCCCACAAGGCACAGCCCATAATAGAGTTCCATACCAGGCTTCAGGGTCGGCCTGAAGCTGGAGAAATGCCAAAGGCAGAGGCCACAGGGGTGAGAAATGAGGACATACCAGAATCACCCCGAGTCCTGGCCAATGTCCACCTTGGACAGGGAGAGAGGCTTGAAGAGAGGGAACAACTTGCCCAGATTATGTCTGAGGATTACAAGAAACTACTAGGAGAGTTGGGTCTTAAATGCTTGTCAACATACCTTTGTTTCTGAAGAAGCAATTTTGCCTGGGAGCCATCAGATCTTTGTCAAACAGACTTTATGGGTCTCCTGGTCATACAATGTGCTTTGTGTGCCCAGGGGCAGCCCCAGGAGTAAGATAGTCAGAGGTGACCTGTCCTGTCCTCAGACGAAGGAGTTTTGCTGAAGAAATGATTAAAAACCTTAACACACCTAGAAAAAACCAAGGGTGAAGGGAGCCAACGTACTAACTGTGAAGATTTCACAAAAAGATGAACCGCAGGGTGGGTCAGACCTGGACAGCTGGGTGGAGGAGGCCAACGAAGACATCCAAGGGGAGGAGAAGGGAACCAAACCCCTGCCACCAAATGAATTCCAACTCATAGCAACTGTATATGACAAAGTGGTTTCCAAGACAATCTTTCTCCCACAGATCAGCTAGCTGGTGGATTTGAACCACTGATCTTTCAGCAGCCCTATTGCACCACCAGGGCTCCTTGAGAGGATGTACGGGAGAGGTTTAAAACCTAACCCAGGGCTTTCGGTATAGACACCCTCACTTACTAGCTAAGTCACCTGCTTCAGCTGGGAGCCAGGCACAAGCTTACAAGATATAACATACAAACAAGTGCTTTCTGAGCTGGAAAGAGACAAGGGATGGTCCTTCCCTCTTAACCACCCCAGACCACCTGGTACTTAAGATGTAGTTACAATAACACGCTCTTTGACGGCTCATGGACCTGGACTCAAGTTCTGTTTCTGATGCTCAGGTGATCAAGTCACCTCCCATGTCCTCCAGTGTGCATCAGGATGTTATCAGGAGCCACTTTTTGTCACATGTCAGGCATCACCTCAGTTAATATTTGTTCTCACTTTACAAACTGAGGTCATCAGGGAGGGGAAGACTCTATACCTTGGCCAGGGCCACAAGCTTTTATGGTAAAGCTGGATTTGAACCCAGATTTGATTCAAGCCGGTACTCTAAATGTGATGATTATAAAAGTTAATAGACCCAGGTATTTGGCAGATACTCAACAGGTATGTCCCAACATCTACAGGGTCAAGGCAACTGTATTAGCAAGAACCTTGTAGGCAGCTCAGTGCCCTCATACAAGGCCCAGGGTCCACCAACACAGAAAGGTCAAGTATCTTTTGCCCTGATGCCCAAGCCCCATATGGTTTAGGTGACTGCAACCCTAACTACATGAAAGAGCCACTTACTGATGACATTTAGTGATAAAAATATCGTCAACTTAATTCAGTAACACTGAAGGAGCCTCAGTGCTGTTTGCAGACCACCCAGATGCCCAAGTTCCAAAGAGAAATGGTCACATTATCTAGAGTTCACAGTGTTTTAAAAATAGTTCAGCGGCTTTTTTTCTAGTTACACGTTTTGAGTTTCTGGATTCAGTGGCACGTCTTTAACAGTCAGCCTGTACTCCCCAAATGAGTTCACCCAGGAAAGATGCTGGCGCACTCCCATCCAAATGACGTCAGCGTCTCTCAACAAACTAAGAGTGGCAAGTTCCCCAGTGTGTATTTTTGTGCAGTGTTGTCAAGCAACAATACAGTCATGAGGATTTAGCTCGCTGGAAGTTCCAAGGTCTCAGGCCCACCTTCCTTCCACTTGCTTTTCAGGTTCAGGTTTGCCAAGCGATTGAAGGAAATCCAGCACCTCTCAAAATTCCAGGGCTTTGGTCCTTTCTCAAGCTTTTAAAAAGTACTGGTCTAGGAAGAAGGTTCTTCTTCTACCCAGCGGCTTCTAGGAACCTGATCTGAGGAGAGAAACCAGGTGCTGAGCTGGTTTGGTGACTCAGGTGTCAAAACAAGATAGCCCATTTCCAACCCCAGTGACCTGGACACTCCACAGCCGCTTTGGCCGGCCTAGGGCAATTGTGAGGCTTCACACCCCTGGACACTTCTGAACCAGCTTAGCCACTTGGTGCAGCCTGCAGATGGTCTAAGGCCAGGAAAGCTGAGATGCTACCCAAGTGGCTCCTTGGCCATTGATTAGGGCAGCCTGAAGGAGTGTGGCAGGCACCTAAATTCACGGGCCCCAGGTTCCTGGTGTGGCGCTGTAGGGTAAGCACTTGACTGCAAGGCCGGCAGTTCAAACTCACCAGCCGTGTCTCAGAAACCCTATACAGGGTCGCTATGAGTCGGAACCAACTCAACAGCACTTAACAGTTTCCAAAGAACCTAAGACAGAAAAACAACAAAGACCTGTTTTGTTGTGAACCGGGCCAATAGGCTTGTATATATAAAGCTGCCATGTATTTTGACTGAAGCTAGCAACAACAGACAATCTGCAAGCTGGCATTCTTTTCAAATCTTTATAAACCACAGAGATTACTTTTGAGTTACATTAATACTTTATTTTCTTTTTTTTTTGAATGTGGAATTAAAGTCATTCAACATACATATATTCTTATGGCTCCTTACACATGGTCTTCTATCTAAAGTCAGGTATTTTTAACTAAGAGATGAAGAAAATCACCCCATTCAAATGGCAACATTTCTGAAGAATGAATATGGTGCTTATGTGATGGGGAAACGGACTCCCAAAACACTTCTTCCATTCAGAGCTACAGGAAGACAGCACACAGCTTTGACTAACATGTGGTGCCCATGCAGAGAGAGGGGTAAGCTCTGAAACAAGAAACTTCCTTTATACGGAAGGAGGATAGAGAAGAAAAGCATCATTTTCCTTTTTGCCCTTTTTTATTAGTGTGTTTCACCTCCACCCAAGGTGTTACTGTGTACCAAGCGGCTATGAAGAATAAAAACAAACTGATTTCAAGTCCCTGAAACGCATGCAACTTAAAATTCTCTATAGCACACAAATCAATCCCAAGTCTTTGGGCCTGGTTCTGATTTTGCGGGGACTACGGTGCTGCTGGGCTTCCAGCCGTGTCTGTCGTGCTGGCAGGGTTTGGAGCTGCGGCGGCCTCTGGCTGCTGTGTTTCTGTTTGGGGATCGTCTCCATTTCCGGTGCTTTTCTTAGTCTTGTCTGCTGCTGTGGCGCCCATGGCCATGATTTCCTGCAGAGGCTGCTCGGTTTCCAGGGAGCTGGGCTGGAGTTCATAAACCTGCACTTGACCGGGGACATCTATGGCTTTCTGTTCAAGTTTTTCCAAGATGGTCTGAACCTTTCTGACGCCATCTCTCCTGGCCTGACGTACATCTGCTCGTCCTTCCGGGTCCACCGAGTCTAGGGCCAGGAGCTCTTTGGTCAAATACTCTTCTATCATCAGGTACTTTTTGTCGGTCTTCTTGCCTTCGAAGTTGTCGACAGCTTGCTCCAGCCCTTGCACCTTCTCCAGGATGGCGTCTACTTTCAGCACACCTGGATGTTTGGGGGGGGCTTCAGCGTCAGCTGCCTTCGGGGGTACGGCTTCTGTAGGAACAGGGCTGGGGGCTGCCCTCTCTTCTGCAGCCATATTCTTAGGGGCTGAGGGGACAGCAGAAGGACTGGGGCTAGGAGGAGGACAAGAGGCTGGTACAGAGGGAACCCTGACTTCCACCTTCTCAGAGGCTGGGGGGACCTTCTGAGGAACGGGCTTAGAATCTGCATCTTTGAGGATCACTTGAATTGGGATGTGTCCAGGAGGCATATCTGGTCCAGCGGGGCCTGGCTTACTTTCAGGTTTGTTTTCAGGTTGGGGGACAGGTGAAGAAGGTTCTTGATGGGCCACTGGCTGCTACGAAGAAGAAAAGACACAGGGAGATGTCCCGTAAGTAAAAGTCATAGGCAGTTGTGTGCAGTTAGTGCCAGTGAGAAGCAAAATCAAGACGTTTGTTATTTTCTAAGTCAGGCAACAGTATCACAACATAAAAATACGATTTAATCATATTTTTGTCCAAACGACAGTTCCACTTCCATTTACAAATAGATCTTGAATTGCTCTGCGGGAAGCATTCTTCTGGCAATGACAAGAAAACCAGGAATTTTCACGAATGCGAATTCCCAAACCTCAGCCAATGCTGAACTAGTTTAGTCCCCACAGCTCATGGGAAAATGGGGGAACCCCTACCCTTGGGGGGATCCCACTGTGGAGCACTGCCATGTGTCCTTCCTCACGCTGTGGACACCATCCAGCTCCTGCTTCAGCAAAAGGCACAAACTTGTGGTTAAAGTGCTCGACTGCTAGTCAAAACGCTGGGGCTGCATCCTCAGAGGTACCTTGGAAGACAATGCTGGCAATCTGGTTGGAAAGATCACAGCCTGGAAAACCATGACGCCCGGTTCTACCCCACATACACACGGGGCTGCCGGGAATTGGCACCGGCTCAACAACTCGCAGCAGCACGGTTTGTTTTTAAACCTATGACAGCTTCGTGGTGCCTGCTCAGACTGATGTGTTTTCCAAGAATAAGCAAGATGCCTCAAATAGTTAACCCTCTAAGGACCCTGCTTCAGTACATCTGTGTCAGAGCTAACGCTCTGCTAGATGCCTGGTGGAGGCCAGTATTCTCTTTGATGAACTGGAAGCTAGAGCCGGTATTCTTAAATGAGTTGGACATAAAAAAGAACGACCTTGGTTCTTCTAACATATACACAAACATCTCAAAAGACTTTAGGAATCTCAAGCAACATAATTTCACCAACTGGGAAGTAAGAGTTGGGCTGGTGGTGTTGTTAAGTGCCATGGAATCGATTCCGAATCATAGCGACCCTGTGTAAGGTTTCTGAGGAGCTGCTGGTGGATTTGAACTGCTGATTTTGTGGTTAGCAGTCCAGTGCTTACTCTACAGCGCCACAGCAGGGCTCTAAGAGCTAGGCTCTTCTGAAATAGTCCTTATTTAAAATACTACATTCTTCTGTCATGTTCAAAATAAACAAATAAAAATCCATAGCTGTCCAGTCTATTCTGACCTGCTCCATAGAGTTTCTGAGGCTGTAAATCTGTACGGAAGCAGACTGCCTCATCTTCCTTCTGCAGAATGGCTGCTGGGTTTGAACCACCAACCTTGTGATGCGTAGCCAAGTGCTTTCAATTAGATCAAGTTCTCACAAGCCTCCCAAAAGAGAACTTGGAATAAGTTATGAAAGGGCAGGCACCATGGGTCATATAAAACCCAAAGCTCCAAACTCGCTGCCTCATTGTGATCCCATAAAGGGTTTCTGAGGCTGCAAATCTTTACAGGAGCAGAAAGTCTCATCTTTCTCCCGCAGAGCAGCTGGCGGGTTTTAGACTGCTGATTAGTGTGTATCCTACAGCACTACCATGTAAAGGGGGTAAAAATAAGATGAAATGCTGTCTCACCCACAGGCAAGTATGGTAGCCCTGTAGGATAAGCAATGGACTACCAACCACAAGGTCAGCAGTTCGAGCCCACCAGCTGCTCTGTGGGAGAAAAGATGAAGCTTTCTGATTCCACAAAGATTTACTGCTCCTGAAACCCCAAACTGGGTCACTATGACTTGGAAATGAATTGCCAGCACCTAACAATCTTCACCAAGTGGTCAAACACCTGCAGCTCTACAGACAGGTGCTTCTCATAACAACCATCACCACCACCAAGTGGTCAAACACCTGCATCTCTGTAGACAGGTGCTTCTTTCCTATGGTGACTGGGCCCAAGTACAGCTTGATCAGGTGTATGGCTCAGCCGGCCAAACGCCAGCCACTTCCATCAGTTCTCCCTGGCCAGCCCGGATGTCCTCAGCATTGACCCTCACCACTCACAGACAAATCGCTCAGCCCCTCTGGGTTTTTAAAAAACAATGGCTGCATTACGAGGAACTAACTTTGGAAACACTTAGAAGGTATTCTGTGGCCTGTGCTCTTGAAAAATGTCAAGGCCGTTGAAGGCCAAACAACTGCTCCAGATTCAAGGAGACTGAAGAGAAATGTCATCCACACATAGTGCTTGTGACCCTGGAACAGGTCTGGAAAAGAGGTCCAAAGGATGGCTGGACTGTGTGTTAATGTGGACTGTGTGTCTAATAGTATTGAATAATGTTAAATTTCCTGAATCGGATCATTCTACTGTGATCATGAAGAACAAATGTCTTTCTCTTTAGAAATACTCTAAGTATTTATGGTCATGCGTTCTGATGTCTATAAGTAATACTCAAACCATTCACAGGTAAGTGTGTTTGTGTTTATGGACCTATGAGGAGTCTTCAAAAAGTTCGTGGAATAACAGAATAGAAAAATTTGTTGGAACTTTTTGAGAGAGTGAGAGAAGAAATGACAATGGAACATAGAAAACTGTTCATCACCAGTGAATGTGGTTGAAGGGTGTACAGAACGTCTTAGATGTCTTTGTAGGATTCTTACAACATGTCTGTAGAAAGTGCTAAAGATTTATATAGCATGTGTCCTATGTTTCTGACAGTCATGACTAGCAATTTCCAGAATCTCAGCTCCTCTAATCCTGGTATTTTCAACCGCCTCATATGCATGTGAAAGTTGGATAATGAATAAGAAAGACTGTACAAAAATCAATACATCTGAATTAGGGTGTTTGTGAAGAATACCGAAATTACCATAGCCTGCTAGAGGAACAATCAAATCTGTCTTGAAAGAAGTACAGCCAGAATGCCCCTTAAAAGCCAGGATGGCGAGACTTCATCCCACATACACAGAGCCCCTGTTGAAAGTTCTCAACCCGGGAGAGGTGGCTGTCTTAGCTAGTCTGCTGACAACTAGTTCACCGTACCTGGGGCCTGTCGATGACAGGGCGCACACGGCCTGGTGAAGGTGAGTGCACAGGCGTGCTGCTCCTGGCTGGTGAGCCCTCGCGGCTGGACACACTCCGGGCAGGCGATCTGAACGGGGACACTGCCCGCAGGGGCCGGGGCTCCCAGTCGTCCCCCTGGATCTTGTGATACACGGGCTGGTGGGTCTGGTATTCACCCTGCTGAGCCGGGTAGTGGGTCTTCTGGACTTGGTGGACAGAGGGCTGGGCTGCGGGCCGGCCAATGTTCTGTTCGTGGATCACAGGGATGGGGATGTAGCCCCGGGGCAGCGGGTGACTGCCCAGGCTGCCCCTGCCGGAGGAGGGCAAGCTGGCTGAGGATGATGAGGACGAGCAGTCCGAGGCAGCTGGAGACTGGGATCGCTGCAAGATATAATGGGAGGGCGTGGCCCCATGAGCATCGCTGCTCTGTCCACTAACGGGGCCCCCATGTGCTCATGGGAACACAGTTCTTAAGACCACCCTCCCCATCTGTAAACTTGTCTGTTTTCAGGATGTAGTATAAAGACTGAGTCACGTTCTTAGATAGCTCCCTGAGCCTCAGCTTTCTCATGAGCAAAGTGAGCAAAGAGGCCCTCGCTCTGGTTCCTCCTCCCTCTCGGGGCTGTACTAAAGATTAATGGTACGTGTATGTGTGAGGGAGTCCTGGTGTGGTGCAAAGCCGTTTCAACTGCAAGGTCGGCGGTTCAAGCTCACCAGCTGCTCCTTGGAAATCCTATACAGGGTGGCTATGAGTCGGAATCGACTCGACAGCACTTAATAAACAACAACAACAACATATGTGTGAGTGTGCAGGCCATGACACGGGGGCTTTGTTTGTCTTTATTAACATGTCTTTTGTCTGTTCTTCTGATATCATTTTTAAATTTGTTCAGATGTCTCCCATATATCATTAATCAATATGTCACTTTCAATTTTTGTAACAAAAACATCACAGATGTTAAGAACTGCTTCTAGGTTGTGGAATGGTGATGGCGCTCAGCTGCAAACCGAAAGGTTGACAGTTCGAGTCCACCCACAGGAGTCTCAAAAGAAAGACTGGCTGGTCTATTTCTGAAATACCAGCCACTGAGAAGTCTGTGGAACACAGTCCTATGCTGACACACATGGTCGTCCTGAGTGGGGGTGGACGTCACAGTGACTTTGGACAAGTGTCCCCACTCCTGGGATCCTGTGTTGCTGCCATTTTCAGCCCAAGCAGGCATGAAGCAGACTGGGAATGAGGATCCAATCATCTCCCTGTGAGATGTCTGGCTTCAGGCTTCCAACCCCATCAGAGAGCAGCTGCCTCCCAGACTTCCTTCTAAGCTGTAGCTCACTGCGAGGGACTGAGGGCAAGTGCGGGGTCTCATTTTTGTATCAAGAGAGCTCCAAGCAGTTAAAGTGTATCCACCATGTACTGAGGTCAACGAAACAATGATACAGCGCCGGGGCCTAGCCAATGAGCTGGCAGCTTTGCTCCAAGCCACTTGGGGCCAGGCCTCTCCTTACCTCAGGTCTGTGGGCGGCGAGGGGCTGGGCTGCTGTTGCTGCTGCTGCAGCCGCTGCCTGGGTGGGCTCCACTCCACCCCGCAGAGGTGACTGGGATTGTTGAGGAGCTGCCGCTGAAGCCTCTGTTCGGAATCGTTGGATCCCGGGCTGGGCAGAGGCGTAGAAAGGGTGCCGGTTCTCCATGCCCTCGTGGAGGACAGGAATGGGGATGTAGCCGGGTCGGAGCTGGGGGTACACAGCGTGGCCTTCTCTAACGGGCAGCAGCCTGGCGCCTTCCCGGGAGGGGCCATTTGCAGACGATGGTGCTTCCTACAGTGGAAGAGAAACGCAGACTGGTTAGGAACTGCCTCTGAGCGACTCTGGTCCCTAGGGGTCAGCAGGACCCTGCTCCATGGCCCCAACACTCCCTCCCTACACAGGTCCCAAGCCCCCAAACTGGCAAGACAGAGGATTCTTTTCCAGTGACTATGTAGGGGCACCACGACTGGGGAACAAACTGGATGGCATTCCACCACCACCACGTTACAACAGACGTCGTCTCATTTCCAAATAAAACCCACTAGGTTCCTGACCACACGAGTGCATGCTGGACCCAAACACGGAGCATAGCTTAGAGATCTTGGCAGAGAAGGAGGGTGGCGGAGCATACCTCCTAGGGAGTAATTTCCAGAACAAGCTTCATGCAGGGGACAGGCATGGGAATGAGGGGCTGGGTGGGACGGGAAGGGACCCAGTGTTAGTCCTGCTGGCCTGAGATGCCTGCTGGGTTGAGGCACGGTTGGGGACCCTCTTGTGTCCTCTCAGGAAGTTCTCCTAGCTATTTTGGGACCCTAGAGAAGGCCAAGTTCCAGAGGTACCACATGGAAAGATCTTATTTCAGACATGGCAGGCCAAGTACTCACCAGGCCATGTTACTTGTCGTCAAGCAAAGGGAGGACAGCAGAGCTCCCCAAGGCCCTGGATCCCAGTTATTTCTGAGCAGTAAGGTGTCCCTTTACAGAGGAAGAAGTTCTGATACTGTAGCAGTTAATGTGCTCCACTGCTAACGGAAAGGTTACAGGTTCGAATCCACCCAGGAGAGAAAGGCCTGAGCATGCTACTGACAGAGCAGCCCCTGGAAACAGTCTGGAGCACCTTTCTACAATGGATCACCATGCGTCCGAGTTGAGGGCTCTGGTTTGGTCACAGAAGAAGGGAGCTGTGGACCTGTGTTGCCGCTGCAAGTCCAAGTGGGTCAGCTAGTAAGGAGAACGTGACTCTTTCTTAAGGAGGCAGCGGTGCAGCACCTGAACAGCAAACAAGCCTGCAGGGGGTAATGAATGTATCCTCTCGCAAAACTGGTGCAAAGTTTAACACTTAGGGCCGATTTGCAGTTTGCGTGATGAATTGTTTTAATTCTGCACAGCGTGTTCCTCAGTTTGTGTGCGGGCACAAGCACCAGGTGGCTGGCCTGGAATTTGGCCCTTTTGGGCCCATGGACTGCTTCTCTCCTGCTGCTGGGATTCGGCTAGGGAAGGCATGGGCGTCACTGTACCCTTGGGGACATTAGCAGACTGGCACTCTCAGATTAGAATCCCCACGTGCTCCAGACAGCGGCATTATTTTAGTCTGCTTGGCTATCAGGTCACCCAAGAGCAAAGGGTGGGTCCAGGCCTCAGTGTGGACAGGATCCCTGCTCGGGGACCGTTCAAGAAACCCTCCACGCTCTAGTGTGCAGCCATGACATGTCTCCAGAGCATTTGATCCATTCCTTCCAGTCTGATTCAGGAGCCTGGCCCTAGTCCTGGGACGTCATCTTTCTGGCTGCATGTGGTTCATTGTACCTTCCCAGCCAAGCACAAAAGGCTTACGCCATCTGAACCTCCATTGAGCACAGCGCTAGGGGTGGGGGTAGAGTGGGTGGGTGGTGGTTACTCAGCAAGAAAGCCTTGATCCCTACCATCAAAAGGGCTGTAAGATAGCTAAGAATGCAGGAAGCAAATAGAAAGCAAAACTAACTTGGTTGTGCAGTGGTGGTTGTTAAGTGCCACTGAGTCGGTTCTGGCTCACAGTATAGGGAGGGTTTCCGAGGAGCGGCTAGTGGGTTTGAACTTTCACCTTGCGGTTCAAACTGACAGTACCACACTAGGTAAGGGAGATGAATGGAAGGCCAAGTTCCACCTCAGGAGCAATAGTTCTGTGATCTTGGATGACACCCTGAACCTCAGTGAACCTTCAGTTCCTTATGTTAACATAAGCAGAACCCACTCTGTAGGACTGGTGTTGAGGTGTGTAATGAGGACAGATGGAGGAGGACACACACACATGGCAAGCCCTCAACCAACGCTAGACTCCTGAGTCTCAAAGGAACCAAAACTGACGGACAAATCTAGCTGATGGTGATGGAAGTCAAGATGGCGGCTGTCCCTGGAGAAATGGCTAATGAATGGGAAGGGTCTTGGGGAACCTTCTGTTCTGAGGTGATGGAAATGTCCTCTTTTTCTGCATGATACATTAGTTACTTTGCACACACCAATAGGAAAGACCAACGATTAGAAAAGGACATCATGCTTGGTAAAGTGAAAGGCTAGTGAGTCTGAGGGAAACCCTCAATGAGACAGCATGGCCCCAACAATGGACTCAAACAGACCAGCAATCACGAAGACAGCACAGGCCCAGGCAACGCTTCCCTCTGTCGTGAGTCAGAGTTGACTCAGCAGAATCTAACCATCACCTACATAAAAATCTACCACACTTGCTATATATACTTCCCTGAAGCCCCTTACTGACCACTCCCTGCCACAGCCCATTCCTACTCTTCTATTTTAACAGGTGAGGGTTGCCGACCCCACCATCCCCCTCATAGCCAGCTGAGGCCTGGAATCCTGAAACAAGCCAGGCTGAGGCGGGCTCCTTCTGAGGGAGGGCCTCTGGATCCTGAAATCACTAGACCCAGTCTGCCAAGAGTCATGCATCCTCACCAGACGTATTTTGTAACTCAATTACAAATGAAGGAAGGCGTAAAAGGAGAAGGAAGTCAGTCCACTTGTCTGCCTACAGGTCTGTGGCAGCAGACAGTGCTTCCTGGAGCCATTATTCCAGCCAGGTCTTGAAAGAAGTGCCATGGAGAAAAGGATGTGGTCAAGACAGGCCGGGGTGATGGCGTTTGAACAGTATATGGAAGACAAGTGCTAAGCTGATGGAGAAGATGGAATGGAAGGCGCAGAGGGCTGAGCTGGAAGTGAGGACCAGCAACCACCCCCACAAATTGCTGCTCACCACACACTGAGAGATGCCCAGGAAGACAGGTGGCACTGGGACAAGAATCTAGGATGCCTGAGGAGGAAATGAGGCAAAGCCAGGGATGTGCGTAGGGGCGGGAGATGAAGACAGGGAAGAGGCCTCCAGGCAGACTCAGGCCTGAGCTTGGGGCCAACTGACCAATGCTGCTGCCCGTAGCATGGGAAGGCAGGGCGTTGAGGACAGTGGTTCTCAGGTTTAGAAAGCTCTGTTTTAGGTGAAGAAAGAACTGTATCAGCTTTAGAGAATTGCAAATTACACATTTCTACATAAATGAACATGGGACCCAGGGGTCACAGTGGTTAAATGCTTGCCTGCTAACCAAAGGGTAGGTAGTTTGAACCCAGAAGGTGCATCATGAGTTTAAGGTGTGAAGGTCGGCTTCCAGAAAGATTTCAGCCTTGGGAACCCTACGGGGCAGTTCCACTCTGTTGATAAGGTCTCTATGAATCAGAATCAACTCAACAACAATGGATTTATGAATTGGGCTGTTAATCTCACGGTCAGCAGTTCAAAACTAACAGCGGTTTCTGCTAGAGAAAAATGAGGCTTTCTGCTCCCATACAGATTTACAGCCTTGGAAACTCTGTACAGGGTTGCTACAAGTCGGAATTAACTCCACAGCACATAACAACAAGTAATTTAAACCCAAACTGAAACTCATTTGTTGAATGTAAAGCTAATGATTGGCCCTGTAAATATTCACACAATAAAAAGCAGAAAAGACACTTCGGGCACAATAAGGTCTGTAGTGGGAATTCTTCAGGCCACCTCCTAATATTTCTCATTAGAGTCCTGCCAAGCAAACTCATTCCCTTCTAGAAAGTACCTCCTGAAAAAAGTTCAATTGCTCTTCCTGTTTCATTTATCACATTCTAGTAGGGAAGAGAAAAATGAGAAGTAACTTTAAAAAATAAGTAAAAGAAAAAGGTGGTTTAACATTTATGATTCCCCTAGAATGTGACTAAAACATGGCTCTTCAGTCCTACAAGCAGTGTTCTCAAGTTCAAGCATAAGCCCCACAATCCCACTAGCAACAGGTAAACTCACTACACCTGCCTAATTCTGCCTTCCGTGCGGACCTGGGACCCGTGTGTTGAGTCTGCTTCCTCCGAGTGTGTCCTCTCTGGGGGCGTCATGTGATCCTGTGACAGTCACAGTTAGCAGGGTGGATGATGTCACCAAGCCTCACCTCACCTCTTCACCGAAGCTTGCATGGGCAGGCAGCCTCTGGAGGAATCGCAATGGCATTCTAGGGGTGATTTCCCGGGCAGCTCACCTCATTGTCTGCTCTTTGGGTAAAGGCACCAGGAATCCACATGAGCGGGCGTCAGTAAGTACGTGGGAAAACACCATGGTCTTTTAATTCCATTTTTCAATAACTTTTTGATGCTCCCCCTTCATGCATATACACAAAGTCTGATTAGGAAATGGAAGCCAAAGGCTGAGAGCACCTGATTCTCACAGCTAACCTTGCTACATTCATTCATAAAACAGTTTGGCTAATTCTCACTACTTGTTTGAGCGTTGTATTAAAACCCTCTGAGGTATATCTGAGGACCAAGGGGAAAATGACCCTAGATGAGCCCAGATCTGCCCTCCTAAGCACCAGATATTATTATTACTGTTACTGTTATTAGAGAAAGCCTGGTATGAGGTTCTGTGCCAGCAGCTGGGCTGGTGCGTCCAGAAGCAGGGTGAACCTTGATGCTGAGCTCAGTAACAACAGTGTGGACGCTAAGGGGGCAGCTAGGAGACGTGGAAAGACATGCATTTGGGCCCGGATCCTGAATCTGCTTCTAACTAGCTGTAAAATGAAGGGCAGCCCAGAAACATTCTGAAAAGCAGTAGTTCCCAAACTCTAGGGGGCATCAGATATTTAAAATGCAGACGGTAAGCACCAAGCCTGAGGCAGGAGGGCCATCTGATTCAGTGGGTGTGTGGTGGGGTCCAGCCAAGGCTACATTGAGAAGCACTGTTCAGAAGTTACTCCCAGCCGGGATATTCCTGGCTCTCATTTGCAAGGTTCC